CAGTCTTTTCACATCTAGTTAGCTAGCTAGATAACTTCATGATCTGTGTCTGTTGACATCTATCTATCTATCTATCTATCTATCTATCTATCTATCTATCTATCTATCATTTATTCATTCATTTTATCTATCTATCTATCTATCTATCTATCTATCTATCTATCTATCTATCTATCTATCACACTTTTCACCCGTTGATCTCTACTCAGATTTCTTGATTTCTTTTACACTACGACCTTCAAAAATTTAAATCAAACGTCAATTACCATCCTCTGTCTTTCTGCAGGCTTTTCTTTTTATTGTTCTTTCTACTCACAAAATTTTCTCGTTTTATTTCGCCCCTCAGTAACCTATTACGTCTTAGTGTCTTTGTCGCCGTGGCTGGGGTGAAATGTTTTAAAGAATCTATCTATCTATCTATCTATCTATCTATCTATCTATCTATCTATGAATAGTCCTGTGTATAACAATATACGATATTCGGGAGCAAAGCTTCTGATCGTGCGTTTAGAGGTTTTGGTGCGGGTAGAACCAACTCTTAATTAGTGTTGTTCCCAGGCCTAACTTAACCCTTACACCTGTTAGTACCCCAGCTATGGCTAAATAGTGACTCCCGAACCAATACAAAACCCTTTCGATTTTAGCATGAAATAACCAATTGAGATCGATATGTCGCTAAACAAAATCAAGCAAACAGCCAACGCGAAGAACTCTTTCATGGAATTAATCCATATAATATCCTGCAATTTCTTAAAGAAAATTTCTGTATTCCAAAATTTAACCTTCATAAAACTACAACATAAAGCACACATATCACCACCGCTAGTAGTTATGTCCACACAAATTTGTATATGCATGAAAGCTGAGTATCATCTACCATGTATTCAAATGTGAAAGCAGAATAACATTTATATTTATTATTTCAAAGTCTAGCAAAAGGTAAATTTCGCCATTAAATGAACTCTGAATGTGTTGATATACCGTTAAACAAACAAATCAATCATTCGATCAATCTAAAAGCCTAACACGCTAGTTATCACTTTATGGTTAACTAACAATCGATACACTCTCGTAGTTTCAAGAACTTTCTTACTCAGCTTATATTGAGAGAGCTACTGAAATTATCATCGCTTTGTCACTTCAAAATCTGTTCAAATTTCTAACTGGATGTTGTGTGGAAGTTTTACTTGGTCATGCCGAGAACTTTTCATCTTTTCTTTCAGTCTTATTCCAGACTTTTTTCGCGCTCACTAGTTCTGAAGGTTGCAACTGCCAAAAACTATCAATAAATAACTACAACGCAACCCCACTTGTTCTCCAACGAATTTAACCACGATTTACTGTATATCTGCCGACCGAAATATGCATGACTGCAGCCTCAGTTCGGACAGGGACAATATCTGGCTCAAGCGATGACGAGATCAATCTGCTGACCGTCCCAAGACGAAAGCTAACCGAAGCAACTGCAAGATATATGTAATTTAGCGGTCACAAGAGGGTGAATACCAATATCTGGAGCAGATACCCGGAAAAAAGACGATTGAGACATGATAAAAAGTGTTTTATGAGGAATACCTTTTTTTTCTGATTTTGTGTCGTTAAAGGAGAGCATCGGGGGAACAGGGTCCCTTTCTGTGGGGAAAGAAATCGCACAGAATGAGAAGAAATAAATAGATTACTTGTGGCGAACCCCTTTGCCTAGAACGGATTACTTAGTCACTCAGACCGTGTCTGAGATATTGAAATATATATTTTATGCGAAACTATATGCATTTGGGGCTATTGCAAGCTATTCCATTTGACTGAGAATAAGATTTAAATTATACAAGTGTCAGCAAATAAAATATGTATACATAAATACACATTTTATCTATCTATCTATCTATCTATCTATCTATCTATCTGATTATATTAATATCTATCTATCTATCTATCTATCTATCTATCTATCTATCTATCTATCTATGTAGTGTAATGTTCAGTAAGCCTGTCTTGTTAGATCAATTGCGACTGACTAGTCAGTTTGATCCTCACTGGGTTGTCTGTACTTTTCGGCTATATGCTAAATGTGTGAATATATAATATATATATATATATATATATATATATATATATATATATATATATATATATATATAAAGGAAACATTGAAGTCAACACTCGAGACAACAGTCTGCTTTATGCTGGACGCAATCGTCATTTTATATTCATATTTACATAGACTCTATCTCTGATATTGAGCACTTTACCCCATAAATATAGTATACCTTAAAACTATATTTCTTCATATATATATATATATATATATATATATATATATATATATATATATATATATATATAAAAGTGTGTGTCTGTGTGTGTGTTGTAACATATAACGAGTTACTGAATAAGGAATAACCAAAACGGTGGTTGGTAAATGAAATACAATACACGCCAGCGGCGTGAAGTGGTAAACCACTGCTACTGGTGGAATACTTAGACAGCATATTAACCCCCACTTACAATAGTGCCCAACGTATTTATGAGGTTTTTGGACATACCCATTAGTGTTCATATATATATATATATATATATATATATATATATATATATATATATATATATATATATATATATATGAGAGAGAGAAAGAGAGATTAAGATAGATAGATGCAGATGCATATATACACACACATATATGTTGATAGATATGAAGAGATATATTGTTACCAAGCGTCTCACTGTCTGAAGAATTGGAAGATACGAGAAAATGTAATGTTTTCGTCACATTAAATGCCGGCATCCCTATCACTTTGATTACAGTCGACGGGAAAAGGGCATAGGTAGAAAGCTTTAATTAATACCACATTTTATGGCGAGCCTTAATGGGATTAATTATAGACGTATATGAACGGACTGAAACAAACAGTGATCGGAAGAAGGCGAGTAAGATTACTAGAGATAAAAAGAGCGATAAACAAAATGGTGTTGGTTTTAAGTTAGCGATGGTGTAGCTGAGACGAAGAATTGATATTGCTTAAGGAAGAAAGTCTGACATTCATTTACATCAATGATTCCGTTATATGGTACCCGAAGAAAGCATAAGTGTAATTTTTTTAAGCATTTAACCCCAAGCAAGGCGGGTGTGCCACTAGCACGCAAGGTGTTACAGAAAGTGGGAGCAAGAGAAAAGAGGCGTGATAGCGGAAAGGATGTAGAGAAGAAGAGGGAATAGGTCAAGGCATCTGGAAATGTCGATTGACATTGCATTTGAATAGTTGGAGGGAAACAAGTAAGAGGAAGGGCGTTCCACAGATGAGACATAAAGCTACTGGAGTACACGGCTGCATTTAACAGTGAAAGGGAGGGACTGAGATGCCAACCTAGTGGTACGCTAAATTCATACAGTTTGGGAACTAACGAAAATAGCTCGTCGGAGCACTTACTGTGAAAATAGTTGTAGAAAAGACAGAGGGAGGCGACGCCACATCTGTGAGAGAGTAACTGTAAACGAGATGCCAGATCAGAGCCAAGCACATTGCATATCCGTCTCTGGATTTTGTCGAAGAGCAGGGGCTCCAGACCATATATGACAGCAATATTCCATGCAAAGGCGAATGGTTGATTTATATTTTTGAAGGATGGACTCGGGCGAGAAAAACTTTTTTGGCGCGACACAGGGAACCAACTTTCCCTGCGGTAGATGAAGCTATTGATTCAGTGTAATTGTCTCTTCTCAGGTCAGCGGACAGTGTGAGACCAAGCAGTCGCAAAGAGGTGCTCTCGTGGAGTTGAGCGTCAGACATTCTAATGGGAGGCAGGGACGTTTGTCTGTGGTGGGTAATAGCAGTTTTGCTTTTGAGTCATTAAAGTTAACCAGCCAATTCCTGCCTCAGTCTACAACCGATTGGAAGTCCTTTACGAGACCAACGGTCAGGTTAGTTTTGTCAGCGATACCAGATTTACTATTGGGCAGGTGCAAAGTGTGGTGTCGTCTGCATAGATGCCTACTTGGGAACTGATAAGATAAGGAACAGTTTAGAACGCAGGATAGAGCCTTGGGGAACACCTGCGTTCGTTATATGTTACCCGAAGAAAACATAAGAGTAATGAAGAAAAAGCTTAAGAAACAATAATGAGGAAAAAAGAGAATATTATATACCGTATGTACTCGTGTAACGGGCGATCTCACGTATCGTGCAACTCCCCCCAAAATAAAATCATTTTATTATGTATCTCCTGTATTAAGCGAATTCTTTTTATGAGAGACTAAATTACAATAGACTTAGCATTTTTCCTTTGTGACTTTTATTACATCTTCTAGTTAAATAATTTGAAAAAATAAAAGATAATGATAAAAGTATCGTTAGTAACGTTATATTCGTTACGTAAACGTGTACAGCCATA